TCGTTCATTTCTTTCACAGTGGAAACAAAGTTTTACACAAATACAAATAAAAACACCCTTCAGTTGTCCCAAGATTTGATCAGTAAGGGATAAGCGCTGCTCTTTCTGTCTTAAATTTTAGTGTTGTTTTTTTGTTTTTTACTTGTTCTAGTGAGGGATCAAATTCCTTCTCTTATATAATACCAAGCCTGCAGTCTGAACAACATTCAGCCTGTTTTTCCTCCTCTGAGACTTTCGGACAGTAAACCAGCGCTGTCTGACAGTAAATATCCAGCTTTGAAGTTTTATGCATTGGACCAAATTAATGAGACACGCGTGGGTTAGTCCAGAACATCATTCAGATGCCAACTCTGAAAGTTGGTCATTAAAACTTAGACTTCTAAGCTCTGCTTAACCCCCCCAAAAAATAATAGTAATGAAATCAAACCGTCAGCTGAGCCCACAGAGGAGGAGGAGGTTTCTCACCTTCCCCGGATCTCCTTCTCCCTGCAGCGGACTGACAGCCAGCGACCATCCCGGAGCTGCTCCATGTTTCCCCGCAGTCTGATTCTCGCAGCGGGAAGCAGCCGGAGGGACAGTGCGCATGTCTGCTTCTAACAGTTAAAGGTTCACTTCTGCAACCCACCTCATTCAGCTGCTTGTTTTAGTAAAAAAATAAACAAAAACAAAAAATAATAGAAAAGAAATAATATCTAATTTTTATTTTTCAGTTGCAGTTTTTAGCTTGGTTTCTAAATATGCGTGTCAGAAACGGAGAGAACGACCGTCAGAAAATATGAAATGTTTGTTTCAATAATCACAATAATACGGAAGAGGATTAGGGCCACTGAAAAAATAAAAAGTACGGATTATTATCTCAGTATAATATGAGAAAAAAGTCAAAATTCAGAATTCTGACTCTTTCACAGAATTCTGTCTCTAATCTCAGAATTTGACTGAATTCTGACAGCTAACAAACGTGTTAGCATCAAGTTGTAGCCTTGTCTGTTTTAGAGACTAAACTAGCTCTCTTGTTTTAATCACCTTCTGCTCCTCCATTAATGAAATAGCTTCACCTGGGACCCCTCTGGCACGTAAAAAGTCACCTAATTCCGTAATTTTCCACGAATGTGTTTCTGGCCCTACCAAACAACTCACATCTTTGTCAATGAAGCTGAATGCTCCCACATCTCTTCCTTCATGGTGCCCATCGACACTAAGATCCAAACTTATGAGTCAGAATTCTGAGATTAAAGTGAGAATTCTGACATTTTTCCCATATTAAACTAAAAATAATATTTAAAAATCTGTTAACTTTTGTATTTTTTTAGTGGCCCTAATCCTGTTCAATACTATAAGTTAAATTTAAATTTTAAATATTATTTTGGGTGTATTTTATCCTAACAATAGCCTTGCCCTAATTAACAGTGGAGACTGGGGCTCACTGTAAAGCTGCAGTTATCTTTTCTACCAGAAGATGCAACAAAAAAGTGGAATAGGCCTAAAAATGTTGTTATTTTTTGGACAAAAGACCTATGAGCCTATGTAAAATACAATAAATAAAAATAAATAAAAAGATTGAGATTCACTACTTTGTTGTCAAATGTACTTCAGTGCACGCAGACAGGGAGATTAGTCTTTTTTTCTGACTGATTTGAGACAAACGAAACACAAAGTATGATCAGTCTCTCCACATAATGCAGTCACTGCTTTCTAACAAACCAAGTCAGTGCCACAGAACATGAGAATGTGTCGTTACCACATCGCTGTGCAGGAAATTTAAAGCTGGTTGTTGGCTGGAACAGTGGAGCAAACAGGGGGTGGCGAGGGGTGGCCACTGCCACCCTGTGCAATGCCCTGGCCACCCTACTCCTCAGTGTAAATTGTAGTGGCATCGGTTTAGCACTTCATCCCATTATGTACAGCCAGCGAAATAACAGTAAAAATCCCACAATAAACCAAGGTATAGGTGTTTACTTATGTCTTTATGATTTCTACAGATAGGTTTACCACAGTAGATTCAAACCCTAAAATTATGGCTTTAGTTTCAGTGTGCCACCCCAAGATATTTAGTGGTCAAAACCGAACCCCCACTATGAAACATTTCTGAAGGCACCGCTGGGCTGGAAGGGCCTGTCTAATTCAATCATGCTAGGTTGGGTTGCGGTTGCTGGGGCTGGGCCTGCCGATGCAACTGCCATCAGAGGCGGGAAGACAGTCTACTCCAGCTGTTCTCCGGTGTCGTGGTTGCAGTACTAGTGTTCTTCTTCACTGGTGATGGATTTCCAAAAACATCCTAAATGTGTTTCTTTGGCATATTTCCTCCTCATTTCTGTCATTAGATACGTAAATTTACTAGTCTGCTGCCACAGCGGGATACCTCCTCACACAGCGACAACTAGCTTATCTGACGTTGCCATGAAAATGTAACTTCCATGAACTTGTGTTGATTAGGCCTCAAAATTATTAAATGGAAATCCAAATACATGTAATGGAAAATAAAAAAAAAATCGGACTAGTTTCCCCAAAAATTTCATAAGGATAAATGTGCACAGTATTTTTAATAAATGTTTTAAAAATCTCCCCCACCCCTGATTCCCGCGGCCATTACAATGTACAAAATATTTACTCTATATGATAATGAGCTTCACTAAGATGCTGGCTGGGACTGGCTTCCCAGTTATAAATCTGGACTTTTTATGGTAGATATTAAGGCATCCAGTTATACCTCAGTAATTGTTCTTTTTTAACCTAACACAGATACAGAGCTAGCATTAGAAAACATGTTTTTTTGGGGCAGTCATTTTACGGTAAGGTGTCACATGTGAGAAAAGGTCACCATGAAAATGTTACTTTATTTCATAGATAAAAGAGAGGAGAAAGTACCAGGATAATGAGGAGTTAAAAAGACAGAGCATGGCAGCTGCAGTGCCTGCAGTGATGCTGAGGGAAGTCAGGTAGGTGACCCTAGGAGTATGGTGAAAGATTTATGTCAACTACCATACTTTTGCACGGTACTGTAAAACATTCTAACCAGCTTAAATTCAGAGTATGACAGCTATCCCATTTACAATGTTGGTTACAAATCACTACGCTGGGTTTTCAGCACAGTGAGGGAACTGCAACTTTAGAACTATATAAACAGATCCTCTGAAATAAATGTTAGTTTGTCTCCATAAGCCAGCTTTCTCATAAGGTGTGAACGCTGGCTTATGGATTTGTGTTTGCAAACTGCCTGCAACTGGTTTGGGCTGCAAGCAGAGCTATTGGGATTCAGCGGTCCAGGTGCAGTGCATGATATGCAAAGGATGGGCATATAAAGAATGCACCCCTAGTAATTCAATCTGCATAAGCTATGCAAAAATTTCAGCTTAGATGTGGATAATAATAACTAGTGAGATTTTATTTTGTTCCAGGACCATTTAAAGTGTCTGTGTTTGATCATGCATGTTGCATATTAATGTTGTCAAAGGCATCTATTTTTAATTTTCGCTATAAATACAGGAAGGATGGGCGGATGATTATTTGCAGTGATGCTAAAATGAGTCTGTTTCTTAATATACTGATGACTAGGATTTCCATATAAAATTTATCTTCAGGTTATTTATAAAAAGGCCATATATAACCAATTCCAATTTTATTATAAATCTTAACTCTAAAATGATGTGAGAAGCATTGAAAGGAAATATGTAAAAACACCCTCTGAATGTAAAAGCCTCCTTTAAGTTATCACTTCCTGTTATTTATAGATAAAAACCCGCCGACCATCAGATGGGTAAGTATCAGGACTGTTGACTTATCCA